AGAATATGGTTACAACTTGCAAAATTATAGAAAGAGGACAGGGGAAAGCAACGATAAAACTTTGATGGCTTGACCATAAAATTGATAGTAAGAGAACAGGAAACAAGTAAATGTACATTGATCGCATGGCCAAATGTATGGAACAGGACAAGATCACCACCTGATCTGTAATCCTGCTAATTGTGAAGGATGGCAAATGATGACCACCAATGCTTTTCATGACGACACCTGAGGATGCTGATGAGTTTGGGAAACACTGCGATAAGGGCCAGAATAGTGGTAAAGTTCATTTTCCAAGCTAATGGCTCATCGAATGCTGGATTTCAGTTTTTTCAAACACATCGACCCTCGATGTATGTGTGGCCAACCATCCGCCTTTACTTCCCATGTCATTATCTGGTACTCTTTTTTTTGCTTGAGCCAAAATTATTTTTTTTCTAAATATCCACAAAATATAAAGCTTCTGTGTTCTCTTATACATACACCAGAACCGCCCCTTCCCCCGCCCCACCTCCTTTCCCATATGAAGTTCATGAACTGTGCTGAGATTCTCCTTATGTGGTCTCTGTGATGAAGCTAGAACGCCGATAAAGACACCAATGGGTACTGAACACAATTTTTTATCAAAAATCAAGACAACAGCGTATTAAAATACTGTCTTGACTGGCTGTATGTACCAATTGCAGAACGATATTATGCTGATGACGCCGTTTTGATCGTCACACGTCAACAAGAACTAAAGGGATTGAAAAATACCTTGGTAGTAGAAAAAAAGGTAAACTGAGCGTCGGCTGGAATAATGAGAAGACATAAGTAATAGTAATATCAAAGAAAAGAACAGTGCCTAAATGTATGATAAAAGTCAAAGAAATTATTTTAGAACTAATACAGAAATGTAATTTAAATATTTTGTAAGATCTTTGATCCTCGAAAAGAGGCTACGCACTATCATCACACCACAACTTAGTTTAGGTCAAATGGGATTTCGGAAGAACAGAAGTTGTACTGATACTATATTCATCCTTGGACAATTAGTAGAAAGGATGGCCGAATACGATAAAGACTACACGACGTAGACCAAGAGAAAGATTTCCATCGAATTAATAGAAAGAAATGATAACCGGTACTACAGGATTACAGTCCTGGACCACATCAGCCGCCAAGTGCCGATTTGGTGCATCAAATATAGGTCAAGGCCTTTATTCCGATTAGACCTGAAGGCGTGGAGAATGGTCCTTTACGTTTTCATTTACTGCTGGATTACGGAATAACGAACACCTCATGAAATCATGCAAGGGTGTTTACTTGAACAGTCAATGTGCAGTAGAACAAACATGGTTGTGTCAAATAATCAAAGCAATGTTTCCCCGATGTGAATTTGAACAAAGAAGACACAAACAATAGACTGCACAATTTATTGCCTGGCATATTTCGCTTATCTCGTCAGGTGCATACTACAGTAACAATTAATGAAAATGAAGCAAATAGCTGAATCCTAGAAACTGAAACACAAATTCGAGTACATTTCAAACTGTTTCACCAAGGTAAGCGTAGATTACTTCGATACGCGGAAGCTTCCGCGATTGGCAGATTGAACCCAGAACTATGTAGGCAAAAAGAAATGGTCGTTGCCCTATATATATATATATATATATATATATATATATATATATATATATATATATATATATATATATATATATATCAATATTGATGAACATCATTTAACGCAGACGAAGGACTTTTCCTGTCTAGGAGTATTTTCTCAGAAGATAGATAATCATTTTTTTTTTAAAATCCAACAAAGATTATGTAAAACAAATCAGGTTTTACTCCAAGTGGACCAATTTTTAAATGCAATCATGTGAATATGAACACTAAAAGATCACTGTTCAACAGAATCTTCTTACCAACGCTATGCTATCAATGTCAAACAGGGACACTCATTAGAAGACAGAAGGAAAATAGTCACGACAGAAATGAAATATTTACATACTATGCTAGGTGTAGAAAGGACAGATCGACTTAGGAACGACGATACCAGTAGAAGAGTCGACATAGAACAAATACTGAACATTATTGGTAGACAATAGATTAGATGGTTTAGCCATATAGCAAGATTGGCATCAGACAGGGCACCACAGAGAGCACTGTTATAAACATACAGCGGTAACAGAGCCAGATGTCGATCCAGCAGAACATAGGCCGCAGAAATATGAGAGACATTGAAAAGTGCTTTATACGAAGCGAACAGAAGGGCCCGTTCCAGAGATCTCTTCTTCCCCTGACGCTGCGAGGCATTACAGGAGTACATAAAAGAAGAAGGCAGAGATTTAAGTATATAGGCACATGGATAACATCTGGCGGAAGGTGTATCACAGAGGCAGAGTAGGACAGGCTAAAGCTAAATTTTAGAAAGCGAAGAACATTTTGTGCAATACATCCATGTCATGTGAGGTAACAACAGAATTCTCTCATGCTACATAGAGTCAGCTTTACAATGCGGCTGTGGACACTGAACAATTATTAAACAAGCCAAACAATTTCTTGAGCCTCGGAAATGTTATTTTACAAAAGCAACCCAGATATTTTTTATTTGGTGAGAGCTTGTAGACAACTTATTGTAGCACATCTGTCTTCTTCGTGTATGTATATGTCACACCCAGGTTTGTCTTCTGTTTACTACAGGAGAAGTCAAATAATATAGACGAGGAGAAAGATGGTCGTGTCGATAGTGGCGATGATGATGCTCTCTCGTGCTTGGTTCTTGCTTCGCACGTCTCCTATGCTTGTATAATAAAATGTCTTGAAACAACTTTTCTTACTGCCTTTTTGTGATACCACAGTAATGTCACAAATAACAGTAATATTCCGAATAGCCGCTGTTTTCGCTCTATGTTTACGTGCTCTTGAGGTCGCATTGTGTTCTTTATCTCTAATTAACGTGTTCTAGTGTATGTAACTGCTGCCTGGCTTCTAGTGTTGTCTGGTACTAACTGTTTGATTGTCGACTGTAACATCTCAATAGCATTTCTACTAAATGTATGTTAACCATGGATCCATGTATCTTGTCAATTGTCTCTGTAGTTCGGTGTCACGTTTAATGCCTCATCTGTAATGTCTGTCTTGGAGGCTCTATGTGACTGGTTCCTTTGCTTCTAAATCTCGACGACTGAAGGTTCTCATCTGTGAGGGCCCATATGACTAGTCACTCTTCTTCTAAGTCTCGGCGACTGAAGGTTGCCCAGATGGTTTCTTTCCCACTAATTATACTGAGATGCTAGAATGCGTGGTATTTGTTTTTTTTTTTTCCACTACTGCTTCCGGAAGATTATTGTGTGCTCAAAGTTGTTTACTATGTATGTTATCACGTAGGAATAACTTATTGCATCTCTACTGTATCAGATAGGTCTGCACCAAAGTATGCAAATTAAATTTAGAGTTGGTCTTCTGGGGTCTTCCAGAACTTCAAGAAAGCAAGTGCGTCTAGGCTCTCTTTTTCTCTTTGATATGGCAGACCAACAATTACACCAGATTCTGTTTATATAACAAGATTATTCATTTGCATGCAAAATATCAAACTGTCAATAAACAAATGATGGTTCTGGAAAGGGAATGACAGGGTTGCTATGACCTGTTGATTTCAGTCCCTTTAACTAATAAGCAATATCCTACCTCCTGGCAAACAAGTGATGACGTCCTCCTGTTACAATATCACAAACGTCAGAAATAGACAGTCATCGTTTTTTGGTCATGTTATAAGAAGAAGGAAACTGAAACGTGCTGTGACATGGATATGGTGTTGGTGTGGTAGAAAAAGTGAGGGGAGAAGTGAAGGTCGTGAGCCAGAGGATTAAGGGCCGCATGGCTAATGCAGTCGCTCCGAACTGCACTTTTGGTGGGTTTTGTTTGTTTGTTGGGGGGGGGGGGGGGGGGGGGGGGGGGGGTCACTGACAAAACAAAATGTAAATCCCTTATCACATATCAAATCTCGATTTCCCACATGAGTGCACTAACAACCCGACCAGCCGCTTCTCCTTACCGCATATAATTAGGCGAAATAGTCGTGCAAGATCCTACTCTTATTCGGCTGCACCACTTCCCCGGCTCCATCTATAACCTAATTTCTGAATAAAACGAAAAGCCATGATGACTCATCTAAAATGAGATTTTTACGAAAACAAACAAGCCACACAATTTGCACATCTAAATTTCAAAACCCGATACTGGATTTGAAAGGTAGATAATTATACTGCATTCATGACACCAGTAACTGAACATGTCCAATCTTTTAATTGTAATCGATCACCGAAGCAACAGCTGGCAGCGCCAGACGGCTGTTTGGCGGATGTGAAGCTGTGTAACGATTCTACACACTAGCATTCTTACATCGGCATCATGTTACAAAGTACATATTTTATCAGCTGCCCAACTGACACTAAAATGATGTTGCAGTATATAGTGTCCCGGTTTCTTTCATATCCTAAAATGCACAGGCCGGCTATTGTTCTAGCTCGCTTTCCAGTCAGAAAACTGGCTTTAAGGTGATACCTGCTAACCAAAGCCGCAAAAGCGCAGTGGCTAGACGCTCGCCTATCGGCTTAAATGGTTTGCGTTTTATGAGAATTCTTAGAATTTGTTTCCTCGGCTAGTTTTCTGGTGCATCTTGAAAGACATATTCAAACAGTTTATGAGACCGTACTAGATGACTGACTTTAAAGGCGCACTGAATGTGTTCAGCGCGTTAAAAATCGCTCAGCTTAAACTAAACGGATAAGACTATGTGCTCATAGATGAGACATCGGTGTGATGTGAACGCGGAGATTGTTTCAGGTCTTGAAAAAATGCAAACAATTCTAAAATCTGGCCCTTGGTGTATGTTTCTTGTTAATTTAAATCACAAAGATATAAATATCAAATCTGTTACTTTGACTTAACAGAAGGTTTCAGTCTACTTCTGACGTACTGTATGTCTTTATGTTTGTATTTTACAAACTTACCTGCTCGTTCACTTGCACGGCCATATTGTGGCACTGTTTGCAACTGACGCTAATTGTGATTCGAATCTCGATCAACAGCCTTATGATGCCTGAAGACAGAGTGTTGTCTCCCTATACTCCTCCATAGTCTAGGAATCAACAAAAGGAATGTAAATGAAACGTAGATTAAACAAGACATGTATGCTAAAAGAGAAAAAGAATGAGATTACAGACTGAGTCAATTTTAAAAAAAAAAAAGATAAAAAATTTACATTAGATAGACGTAAGGAGGAAAGAAGTAAGGATGCATCTATGAGTTGTTAGAAAGACATACTGACTGACATACAGACAAAAAGGAAGGCAGGAAGGCAAGCGAGCAGCTGCACAGGTAGAACTGCATGCTATATACAGATAGGCAGTATCTCTCAGCAGTATCCCACTCCAAGATGTGGAGTTATACACCTGTGTGTTTGTGTGTGTGTGTGTATGGGCGGGGGGGGGGGGTTGGGGGGAGCAGAGCTGTTAGAATACGAATACATAAGACAAGAGTTGCTTTCATAACCCTATGAAATTTGTGAAGGCCAAAAGAAATTAAAGCTAATATCAAGCTTGCAACTTTTAATTCTAATGTCAAATCAGCACTGCTATTATACTGAGCGGAAACATGGAGAACAACTAAAAATAATCACCAATTAACTTTAAGCATTGATTAAATGTCACTTGCACAGAATAGAGGGAATTAAGTGGTATAATAGAATCACTGATGTTCAACTTTAGGAGAGAATGAAACAAGTTCCTGGGGACCAAGAGGCGAAGTGAAGACGCTGACATAGTACTTAATATAATACCGTTTTTTCTGTGAAGAAACTTTGTTAAATGTCCATGAGAAGGGAAAATCTGGAGTAGATCGTGACGAGAAAGTTGTAGGGGAAGACAGGCAGTCAGAGACCAAGAATCATGACGTTGGACAGTTTGTTACCATGTCATGGGTGAATATCTGTATGAGTTATGACTGACAGTACATAGAACAAAAGATTGTTGCCATGATTGCCAAGACCCTATGGAGTGGATTATAGGAAAGACCATTGTCAACTAAGGTGAAAGAGTTCCTGAGAGCTCTGTAGAACCAGTCCTGTTGTATCGAAGGCAATCGTGGACAGTCAACAGATTACTGAAAAATTATGTTTAATCTGCAGATATTGATATAAGAATGAATCAAATATAATCTGTCTGTCTGTCGGTCTGTCGGTCGGTCGGTCGTTCGGTCGTTCGGTCTTTCGGTCGTTCGGTCGTTCGGTCGTTCGGTCGGTCGGTCGGTCGGTCGGTCGGTCGGTCGGTCGGTCGGTCGGTCGGTCGGTCGGTCGGTCGGTCGGTCGGTCGGTCGGTCGGTCGGTCGGTCGGTCGGTCGGTCGGTCGGTCGGTCGGTCGGTCGGTCGGTCGGTCGGTCGGTCGGTCGGTCGGTCGGTCGGTCGGTCGGTCGGTCGGTCGGTCGGTCGGTCGGTCGGTCGGTCGGTCGGTCGGTCGGTCGGTCGGTCGGTCGGTCGGTCGGTCGGTCGGTCGGTCGGTCGGTCGGTCGGTCGGTCGGTCGGTCGGTCGGTCGGTCGGTCGGTCGGTCGGTCGGTCGGTCGGTCGGTCGGTCGGTCGGTCGGTCGGTCGGTCGGTCGGTCGGTCGGTCGGTCGGTCGGTCGGTCGGTCGGTCGGTCGGTCGGTCGGTCGGTCGGTCGGTCGGTCGGTCGGTCTGTCTGTCTGTCTGTCTGTCTGTCTGTCAGATCATTTAGATTCCGAGCTACCGTAAACACAAGGCACGAGTTCCTTGATAGACTGGATACAAGTATGTGTTGGCTACACATAAACCAAGACATGAACATTATGCAGTTGTTTAATATACTATCTGCTAAGAATTGTAAACAAGCAAATTGATATATGGACCACCTGTACAGCCGTGGGAGCTCATGGAAACATTGAACATCACAAAGCCTGCATCATTAGGTTGCACAAGTAGGCTCAGATCGCGATATAAAGAATACGACCTAATATGTGGATATCAATAGATTGCACAGTGTGCAGACTACAGACACAACCAGTACTGTAAAGTATAAACACGCCCGACATCCCCTAACACATGTAGATGATATTTTAGACTGCCAGCAGGACAGTCGACGAGAAGGGCAACAAGAAATCACATTCTTTGAAAGAATACTATACTGTCGGACTTCGAAAACTGCACCTCTCAAAATGGCTATTTGCCTATTCGTTGAACAGAAAAAGAAAAAAAAACACGGGGGGGGGGGGGGGGGGGGGGGGGGGGTTGGAACAGATTATCAAAACCACATTCTGTGTAGTCAAAGAGTTAAAGACCAGGAAAAACACAGAGACAGAGGTTAACTTTAAAAACTCAGAACAGATTGTCATCTAAAACTTCGGAGACAGTGTTCAATCTTGTTGGAGTAAAAGCACCGACTAACCAGGACTGAGTCTTAAATTACTAAAACAGTCGTGATTTCCTGAATGCTAAGTTACCAATGGTTTCATAACATACTTGAATTCTGAGTTGCCAAGTAGTAATGATTTATTGAAATACAGCTTACCGGTTAAAATGACTTACTGAGATGCAAGTTATCAAGTAAACACGACTTCTTGTGATGCATGTTACCAAATAAACATGATTTCCAGACATGCATACTACCCAGTAAATATGACTTTTAAAGATGCATCTTGCAAAATAAACGTGCCTTGCTGGGATATAACTTACTACCTAAACATGACAGATACAGATAGAACTCAACAGCTAAACATGACTTTAAAATTTTAACTTACAAACAAAACACGGCATAAAAGTAGATATTGGCAAACAATCCTGACGTATGAGGAACAGGATACCAACTAAACATGACTTATAAGATACATCTAGCCAACTAAACATGACGACTAGAATGAAGGTTTCGAGCTATATACTGACTTATACAAAGACAAGATGTCAACTAAACATGACTTCTTAAGATACAGGTCACCAAATCAACATAACTATTTTTGCGGCAAGTACCAACTAAAGATGACTTTAAAAAATAGATGTTAGGGATAAGAATCATAAACAGAGGAAAATCCCCGATCTCCCATTTAACGTTATAATACAGTTATTTCAGAGCAGGGTGGGGGTAATTAATACAATCCTCATCATCATCAATTTCAATTGGCAAAGCTCAACATCTACCAAAGGAAGATGTCCTATCCTAGATAACATTAGTTATAATTTTGGCTACTGTTCATGCTCTTGTTTCATTTTGCGTTTCTTAGTGTTGTAGCTGCCATGTCTGTCGAGCTACGTTTTCTGCCTGTTGTTTAAAGTCAGTCATGTGGTTTGTTCCATCGTGTGATATTTCAGTGTCTCCACTACACGGCACATAAGAAAAGGATCTCAGTTGTTGTCTTGATCTTGCTCTGGCATTCGCAATGTTCTCTGTACGCTGTCTTCATCCAAACTCTATATGACTCTATAAAAGATATCCCATGCCGTCATCCTACTGTTGGCTTGGTAAGACTTCCTAAATACTAGGTAAATTCTTGTATTCTTCCGTTGGATTAATGCTTCTTTGTATAAGCTGTAGGCCGCCAGACGACGTTGTTCTTGGTGCCACTTTTCCACAGTCTGCCTTAATCGCTTCACCAGTTCATTCATGGTTTTCTTGGGAACCGTTGCTTTGCCTCTCTCACATGGTCTTGGCTGTGGCTTTGTTGTTTGCGTCTCTTTAGTTTTCTTGTCTGGTTTAAGAGGTCTTACTACCTTGGTGTCGACTGGTTATTGTTGAACAGGAGCTGTTTCTGGATTTTGTTGGATATCTCTGAGCATTGCCACAATTTCTGTCTTAAACTCGTCCATTGATGTTGCCTCGGTCACCACCTGTCTTTGGACTTCTGATGTAGTTTACCGTATATTTCCCATCGCCTCCATCTCCCTTCTTATTTGTGTGTACTGTAAGTCTCCAGCTGCTTTTTCATGTCGTAGATTCTAGATATCGTTCAACTGGTCTATCTGATTTGATGTCTCGACTTGCTTAGCAAGGTTTCGCTCCTAGGTGCTTCATATCTTCTTTTGGCTTCTTTATAGGGTAAGTTTTCTTTTCATTGTCTCTGTTTACAGTTGTTGATATGGGCATCCCAGGTACCCAGCTCCATGTTGTCCGGAGTGGTTTGTGCATTTCCTATTTGTGTTGGGATTTCAGAAATCTTTCTTGGCTTTCGGACACTGCTGTAGGCAAGAGGCTCAGAGAAATATCTGCAAATTTCCTGTTTGCTGAGAAAAGTTGTTCTGGAATGCTGCGCGAACATTAAAGTATTGGTGGGACAGACTGCTCTGGTCTTTGTGGTTTCTCGTCGAACATAACGTGGTCTGGGATAAAGTCACCTTCGGCTGTTACCACAGCCACTCAACATTCTTCTCAAGACCACATCTTAGTTGCCTCTAAACTCTTCTTATTGCTCACATTCCAATATTCACTAACATACAGCAGAACAGGCTCGATATAACATTTGAATACTCGTTTTCTGATGTTTAATGACAGTGATTTATTCGATAAAATACTTTCATTTTCTGAAAAGCTGCCTTTGCCTGGCCAATTCTGCTCTTAATTTCTGTCACACATCGTCCATCTGATTAGTGATTAGTGATTAGAAAGGATTATCATCACAACACTCCGGACAGATCCTTAGGTGCTCCGATCTCCTCCTCAAAAACTCCACAAGTCTAAAGTGACTGATGACGCCTGCTCTGTCTTGTCCACTTAGTGAAATATTCATTTCTTGCAGCTCCAGGCTGCACCCCTATTTCCGTCAGTCTAGACAGGGATATGGAGTCATATCGTTTGGCATGCTCCTCGGTGCGGTAAATGCAGCGCATGGCATTCACTTCTGTCCAGTACTGGGCCAGCCATAGGAACGGCAGTGTCAGCAAGGTAGTCAGCACGCTTCCCTTGAACACCCGCATGACCTGGCACAAAGATGAAGGTTAGGGCAGCTATCAGTTAAGTGCTTAGTGTTTCATTTCATTC